AAAAGCAGAAAGTGAAAAATGCTCTTTAAAAGAGGATGGCATAGAAATGTATTTATGCATTGCAACAGATAAAATTAATAAATGCGTGAGGACTAGTTCAGCTGTCTGGTTGTGAGTTAAGAATAAATCCCACCCTCCCTGAAGTATTCAGATTCCACCTTGCCCCACGGTCACCACAGTGGCACAATGGAAGCTCCATCCCATTCATGCTGTCTTTGGGTGTCTTCAGAGTGTTGTTTCACAGGTACTCAGACCCAACAGTAAGATTTTAAAAATTGTCCATAATGTTGACCTTGGCATTATTACATTAAAGAAAGCAAAACAGATATCACTGAATTTACTTCTTAAAAAAAACCTTACGTTTCTGCAAAGTTTCTTAAATTCTGACTCTTGTCACACAAGCATACAAGAATGGCTATACTTTAACCCTTCTAATCAATTATATCCATAATATATATGACTGATAAGTTTTCATGACTATGAAATATATACATGTTTGGAGAATCTATTTACAATAGATAATCCTATTAATAGCTGTCATTGTAACACTGTTTATGCAGTAATTGTAATTCCATCTGTTTTTATTTTTAGCATCTTTCCTCTCGATCCCCCAAATTTTAAGGTGCTATCAAGTGTGTATTTTATTTCGTTTTGATGCTTTAGGTTATCTGTAGTTATGATAGCCATATCAATTATTCATTTCGCAAAAATTTATTGAGTGCTACTATGTGCTTAGATTTTTCCAATGTTGTGAAGGATGATTGGGTAAAATTTTTCCACTTTTATTAGTAATTTGGGAGTTTTTTCTTTCCATGGATTTTAGTCACTGGTAAAGGCTGTCTCATACTTAGAGGTTTTTCTCTACTAAGAAACATGATGTTGAATAAGGTATGAATTATAACTTAAGGCTTTTTCACATTCTCTGCCATTATACGATTTTTTTTCTCATGAAGAGTGTGTGTCCTCAAGAAATTTATAATCTAGCAGGTGAAAGATTTGCTTCTTTCAAAATGTGACTCTAATTCCCCCACTCCTTAGGTTGTGAAAGCAGTTGTTTATGCTTTATTTCATTGTTTTCCAAACTGTAGTTATTTATATACCATCCTCATGATTATGCTGTTCACATGCTACCTGTACTGTTATGCTTCTGAAAATATACCATGATTTTAAATTTAATTAAATTTGTTTAATAATAATATCTGTTAAATCACTAGGTTGATGTGCTAGTTATAAAATTTTAAATATACTTTAATATAAATGTGTTACTACTAAATTATTTTTTTGTCTGTATGTATCCAAAATCTTGCCTTTAGTACTACACATAATCTTTGGTATACCCATGGTAGCCACCTTCAAGAGTGAGTAATGGCATTTATGCAGCCAACAAACATAAAAAAAAGTTCACCATCACTGGTCATTAAAGAAATGCAAATCAAAACCACATTGAGATACCATCTCATGCCAGTTAGAATGGTGATCATTAAAAAATCAGGAGACAACAGATTCTGGAGAGGATGTGGAGAAATAGGAATGCTTTTATACTGTTGGTGGGAGTGTAAATTAGTTCAACCATTGTGGAAGACAGTGTGGCGATTCCTCAAGGATCTAGAAATAGAAATACCATTTGACCCAGCAATCCCATTACTGGGTATATACCCAAAGGGTTATAAATCATTCTATTATAAAGACACATACACACCTATGTTTATTGCAGCATTGTTTACAATAGCTAAGACTTGGAACCAACCTAAATGCCCATCAGTGATAGACTGGATAAAGAAAATGTGGCACATATATACCATGAATGCTACACAGCCATAAAAAACGGATGAGTTCATGTCCTTTGCAGGAACACGGATAAAGCTGGAAACCATCATTCTCAGCAAACTGACATAAGAACAGAAAACCAAATACCACATGTTCTCACTCATAAAAGGGTGTTGAACAATGAGAACACATGGACACAGGGAGGGGAACATAACACACAGTGGCCTGTTGGGGGGTAGGGGGGTTAGGTGAGGAATAGCAAGGGGTGGGGGGATTGGGGAGGGATAACATTAGGAGAAATACCTACTGTAGATTACAGGATGGATGTAGCAAACCCCCATGGCACATGTATACCTATATAACAAACTTGCATGTTCTGCACATATACCCCAGAACTTAAAGTATAATAATAAAAAGTAAATAATTTAAAAAATAAAAAAGATTGAGTAATGGCAAAATAAAATAAATGCAGCAATAATGATGGGGACCATAGCAATGGTAATAAGAGCTACTATTTATTGAGGACTTTACGTATGTCATTTAACTTTATCTTATTTTATCTTTAAAACAACTTTCAGGCATGAATATCAGAGAAATATAAGGCAAAGGGGCAGGAAAGAAGGAACAGTGGAAGTGAAACTGTTTTGCCTAGGGCGGGTATAACTAACACAATATGATGTTTTAGTATTTGTACTTTTTTTTTTTTTTTAAGTCAGCTGAGATTTCACACCTGTTTATTTTATAAAAATTTGGGTGTGATGGTGGAAGATTAACATGATAATCTTTAGCAATTATTATAGAACAAATTAGTTAAAAATTGTAAAATGCATAGAAACAGAGTAGAATATCCTAGGTGTTTCCTATAATTAAATTATAAAATGATTGCTCTGATTATTTTTCATAGTAGTTCAATTAAAGTGTGACTTTGGGTCTGTTAGTATACATGAGTGTGAATGCTTTAGAGGTTTGATCCTTGGCTTTCCTGTATAAGTTCATATATATCTTTGTTATTATCCTGTAAATAACTGAATTATAGTATAGTGATTCTGTAAAAAACACTTTAGTTATTAATACTCTTTGGTGTGAAATTAACATTAAAAATTTTTATATTTCCAGAACCTGGTTTTTACCTGTGAAAGTCAATGTATCCTTCTTTTAATCTTCTGCATTGGTTTTTTTTAATAGCTTGATGAAATGTGACATGCTTCTCCTTCCTCCCCCTGCTTCCTGTGCCTCTATCCCCACCATTTTTTTTCTATTCCTCTTGGCATCTGGATTTCTTTTTCTGCCAAATGAGTCAGTTAGAGAGGAAATGTTTAACCCACATTTGTCATCTTGGCTGGGAAAAGAAGTTTGAAGGCAAAGGTGCCTGAATATGTTTCATTAGGATGCTGACACAACCTTTTTGACTCTCTCCTGAGAATACTACTGTATATTCAAGTTACAAAGTGCTAAATGATCCATTTCCACCATGCATACATTTCACATGATTAATACTTTATAGATTTTTTTTTTGAGGACTAATATTTTTCTTTTGGAAAAATATTATTTATTTATTTATTTGTGTGTATGTATGTGTTTATTTTCTTTTAATATGTGGTCTCTTTCAACAAAGGATTTGATTTTACACACATAAATAATAGGATTAAGAGGCTAAAGGAAAAATAGGAGAAAGGAAAATATGAGTACAGTGATAAAGTAAAATGAATTGCTTGTATTCTAACACAGAATAGCTACTATCTGTTGATTGTTTATTGTATATTAGCCATTTAATCAAAATATCTAGTCTAATGAAATAGTCACTGTTTTGAGTTTGTTTAGGTTTAGTAGATGTAGAAACTGAGACTTAGGTTAATTTACTCAACTCCACATTGCTAATTTGTAGTGAAAGTGGAATTTGAATCCTCTTTTTTCTCATCCAGCATATCATCACTATAACCCTTATAGTTTGCTTTTGGTACAAGTATTCATATTAATGGAAATGCAAAGTATTACCTCAGCAAATGTACTAATAGCTTAGCTTCACTAAATTACTCACTTCTTTTTCTAACCATCTATACATGGGAAACAAAATAGGCTGGGGAATAGGCTGTACTGGTGGAGGCTGTGGTGCTGATGAAGGAAGTGGTGGAATGCGTAGGTGCCCATGCTTTTTGTCACAATGAAGATCAAAAAGCACATCACTTAAAGTTATCCTTGGGGTTTGTATTCTTCACCAAAAACTAAATAAACATATAGACTTAGCAATATGCTCTAAAAGTGAAGACATAAGCAGTATGAAATTCTGCCATAAAGCAAGTGGTTCAAGATTGTGGTCCAACCTCTTCAAAATGCTCATAAATCAGTAGGCAAATTTATTATACAGTATTTTATATGTACATATAATAATATAATACTATACTATACAAATTTGACCTAAAATGAATTCACTTGCTATATTAAATATTAAACATTAAATGGGCAGCAACTTTGTTTGCACTGGACGTAGACTATAAGAAGACAATTTGGGACAAGCTGAAGAGTTCAGGTCTCTTGAGAAACCCTTCAGCTTCTTTTCCTCCAAATGAATTTCTCTGTAGCAAATGGAAACCAACCAAATGATTCCCTAGCTACCTCAAAGTACCGTAATTTGTCTACTTTACAAATTATGGGACTATATCTAGCAATAATTAAAGAAAAATGCACCAACTCCCATTATGTCATAGGTACTGTGCTAGGAACTTTATGCATATCATTTTGTTTGATTTTAATAGCAACTTCGTGAAATAAGTCATCATAATAAATCACCATTTTAGATATTGAGAAACCACAGACAGATTAGAGAAGTTAAATAATTTTCCTGTCAAAGACCATATCAATGATGAAGACAGAATTTGAACTTATGTACTTAGCCGTTGGACTACCTGCATGCCCTGTCAAGGAACGGCTAAGGCTGTCATAGAGACTAGACTGTGTATAGATAGTTGTTTCAAGAGAGAAAAAAGGCAGGAGGATCTAGGGAATAGGTTTAAATCAGGCATTGGCATCTGTACTAGAAATGAGAGGTGGAACTATTATTGTGTTCTATTTACTGAGTATAGGTATATCCTACTGAATGTATTTCTCTACTCCATACACTATTCAAGGTGATAAAAGCGTTTAGGAAGAGGGATTAGGAAATATCCGCTATGTTTAGGTCATAGCCCAGTCAAAGGATTAATTAACATTTGTCTCTTTTTTTCTCCTACATCCAGCCTCCCTTTTGATGAGAAGAATAAGCCTCATTCTGATTCAACAGCAGAGATCAAAGAAAAGACTTCTGTTTGCTGGCCATCAGATATATGTTATCTGTGTTTAAAGAACTGAAAAACACACATCAAAGGAACATTCTCTTGGAAAGAGAGGTAATGAGATACAGTGAAAGAGAATAGAGATTCTTTAAATCACAGAGACCTAGGATCAAATCCTGTGATTAATACTTTTTAGTAATGTAACCTACTTCATTTCTTTGAGCCCTGGTTTATTTTTCCGAAAAATGAGGGTGATCTAAATTGCTTAAAATGCAACTCATGACAATGATAGACATGAAATAAATAGTCATTCATCTCCCTCCTTTGCTCAAGCACTGCTCTGCCCTTCTCATCCCCTTTCCCTTCCTTTTTTTCCTTTTTATTTTGTCTGTACCCAATAGTTTTCCCCAAACCCTGTAACTATGTATATGTATATTGTTGCAGCAAAATGTATCAAGGAGACACTCATTATTTGCATCCATTTATATGCTGATATAAGTATTTCATCCTCAGAAGTTTCAGCGGGATGCTGGTGATTTGGTGAGAAAGAAGCAACTATTTCTGTGATTTAATTTCAACGTGAGCATTGAGAAGGCAACCCTTCACCCTTTTACTACTGTTGATAACTCCATGCTTCTAAGAACTAATGGGTTGAAGAACTTAGCACTTGTGATGGATTAGTCAAACAAAAATTATGAAGTAAGTAATCTATAACATTATAGTATATTACAAATACTGAAATATATTACAGTATTATTTATTATGATTCTTACAGCTCATTTATACTGTACACAATTCCTTCCATCATTTTATGAAGATGTTATACATATACATAATGAAACATAGTTAATTAGATACAAAGAACATAGAACTAAATGACTATTTTCTAAATATTTTCCCTCTAAGGAGGTTTTGCAATCCAGCTTTGCTGTGGTTGGTTAGACCCTATGGATGAGAAAACATTCCTTTTTTTTTTTTTTTTTGACAGGGACTCATTCTGTTGTCCAGGCTGTAATGCAGTGGTACAATCATGGCTCACTGCAGCCTCAACCTCTTGGGCTATAGTCGTCCTTCTGCTTCAGCCTTCTCAGTAGCTGGGACTACTCGGTGTGCACCCCCATGCCCGGCTAATTTTTTTTTTTTTTTTTTGTAGAGATGGTTTTCAGCATGTTGCCCAGGCTGATCTCAAACTCCTAGAATCAAGGAATCCACCCACCTCAGCCTCTCAAAGTGCTGGGATTACAGGCGTGAGCCACTGCGCCCAGCCTGGATGAGAAAACATTGAGTTGGAAACCCAAAAGATGACATAAATAATTTGGTATATTTTAGAGCTGGATTTCAACAACTTTTCAACACTGTCATCCTGTAAATGTCTTTCTGTCCTAATCCCATCGCCCTTGCACTCAGCAGAATTGTGTGGCTCTAAGGCAGATTTTGGTATGAAATATCTCAGCTAGGGAAGGCTCCGAAAGGGAGAGATCTGACTAAAGAGCTCACACCAGACAAAGTTCCTCATCATACTGGCCTAACTCTCCCGATCCTGCATTTTTTTTCTTCTCTTTCACATAACTCCTGTGGAATAATTTCCACTGAATTGCATGGAAGAGGCTGTTCATGGGGCTAGTCTGGCAGTTAAGAGATTTCTATTGGATTTTTTCATTTTGCAATCAGTTTCATACATTTACATGTATACTTTTCTTGGAGTCATAGTTTATTCTCAGGTCTTTTAGAGTTAAATATCTTTCTTCCTTTAAGGTCTTACTTTTTTTTTTTAGTTTTATGGGAGATAACCAGTTTCCAATCCATGTCAGGGGAAAAGTGGGACAAATGAATGAAATTTGTAACCACCTTGGATGATGGAATAAGACATTTGGGAGAACACAGGAGAAGTAGGGAGGTTAGAGAGGGATGGCTCTGTGAAAATTTTGCATTACTCTTGCCTGAGGTCTACTCTTCTGTCATGTTGGTGGCTGTTTTGGCAATAAGAAATATTTAATGGCAAACTTAGTCTTCTAATTTGAAAATGGAAATCATAACAGTTCTTGTCTCATAGGGATAGTATGAGATGAATTAAATAATCCATGTAAGAGGTATAGTACTATGCTTGCCATTCTGTAAGAGCTCAACAAACATTCACTTTTTACCTATTAGTATCAATCTTAATTCTAAAATTTTATTTTTTAAATATTTTCCAATGGTGTTTGTAAATAATATCTAATGACTAGGTTAGTATACCATGTGGTTCTTCTAGGGTTCAAGCATTATTGTTAGGTGTGCTGGAATCCTTTCCCAAGTCAGTACTACTTTCTAGAACAAAACTGGGGAGACCTATTTGGAATGTATCTAACTCCAAAGAAAAAACCATCAGAGGTAACAGGTGGGGGATATGTGAAACAACTTTTTAGATATGAATCCTAATTGAATAAAAGTTGCCAAATAGCTCATTCCTAATATCTGAAGAAGAGTTTTAGTCTAAATGGAATAGCTGGAGAGTACAGGAAAAGTTCTTTCCTGCTCTGTCTAACCACAAGCCTCTGTGACATTTATCAAAGAAATGCAGCCCTTTAAAGCTGAATATAAGTCCCAAAGGTGCTTTCCTCGTGAAGCTTCTTTTGTCCTCTGCTTTTAGAACCCTTTCTGCACACTGCTACCTCTGTGTCACACTCCAGTACATCTGCCCTTACACAAGGGGCCACACAGGGACTGGCCCACACACCAGCCAGGGCACATGGGCCAACTTTTAACAGCAAAGGAAAATGCTAAATCCTACATTAGGGACAGAAGAGAAAAATAACATTCTTCAGAGAGCTGTGATGGCTCTGAGTAAGATCAAGGACCCTGAAGTAAGACAGACCTGAGTCTGAATCTCAATTCCAACAATAAATTTGTTTATACACTTAAGGCATCACATATATTATTGTTAAATAATAGATACTTTACAGGCTTGTAACTAAGAGGAGGCAAAACAAGGTCTGTAAAGTGTTTCATAGATTGGCCAGCATATAGTAAACATTTGATAATTAGTAGCCATTATTATTTTTCCTTAAAATATTTTTTTCTGGCTTTTTAGCAATCCTAAAATTCAGTCTTGTGTAGACTCCATGGCTAGGACTTGCAGAAGAAAAAATTGTCTGAACAATTTAGACATTGCCTTTTTGTCCTCAAACCAAGGGATGAATTTTTATTCTAAAATATCCATATTGTCCATATCACTTAACTAGTTAATTGCCAAGTCTGTCTTTCTCTTTTATGCAACTGGAAAACATTAAAAAGTTGAATGAATGTACTGTACACATACATGCATACACATAGACTTAAGTACATTAATGTGTATTATACCTTCCATAGCACTTAGATCATCTGTTCTTTCTTATGATGCTTTCTATAATCTTTTGAGGTAGGTTTTATATTATCCTATTTTATAATTAAAGGAAAAGGGAACACAGAAAAGCAGCCTGACTTGGCCAGAGGCCTTGCAAGTGTTAGGTAAAGAGTCAAGGAGTCCTGACCTCTTTTCAGTTTTTCTTCCTCTGTACTGCTGTGATGACTGTGGAAGTAAAATACTTTTTTGGCTGCCAAAGAAGCCCCAGCGGAAAAGTAACCAAAGAAAGGAGTATTTGGGAGCAGCATGGCTGAAATCCAGTTAAAAGTTAGATTCCTGTTGGTCAATTTCTCCTTAATTGACAGCAGGAATTGCTGTCACTGCCCTGTCTAGCTACTTTCAAACGGTAGGGATGTTAGCAAGAGCTTCCAGTGAATGCTTCCTAGAGGAGCAGTGATTGCTTTGGCTAGCTTCTGCTGTAGCAGTTTTCTGGCGGTGAAAAGTAACACAATTGGAGGTGGTAATCATTTTCTAATAACCACCTCAGGCTTTTGGCACCTAATTATCTGGCACTGTCTAGGGAAGCTCCTTATGCTACCTCATGCTTCTTGTCAAGTCAATCTGCTTATCTAATTTTGCTGGGAAATCTGATATCACCCTTCAAATAGTTCACCTCAGTGGGATCCAGTGTGTGCCCTGTAAAGTGCTCAAGGAAGAGTCTGATTGGCTCTGACAAGCAAACAGCAGAAAGAAATTTTGGTAAAATGTCCACCGTTTTTGCAGCTTTTTCATTGTGATTCCATGGTGTTTGAAATCAGAATGCTGAGTTAATGACACAAGGAAACACTTGGATGTTCATATTGTCTACTTGGTTTTTTTGAAACCTCCCAAGGACTGGCTTCATCCTGTTTGAGAGTCCATTCAACTGTAATTTCCACTCCACTTCCTGTGCAGGCCTGCCTGTGGTTTGTGGGCTGTACATTTCATCTTACTCCTTTAAGGGGCCCCCTGAACTGAAAATGAAAGAGACTTTTTGTTGCTTCTGCCACCTGCTTATCGTCCAATCCCAATCTCAGGTTTTCTTTTTCTCTTTTTTAAACCCGAGTAGCACTTTTCCAACTTGTGCGTAGCTTTTTCTTTCAGTTCTCTGCTCTTCACAGTAATTAAACAAGAGTTAGTCTCCTTTTCCAAACCTTGTTTTTGTAATACCTTTATTCCTAAAGAGTTATGCTTATAAGATTAACATAAATATGTTAAACTTGGTATTGATTTGATGATTTCATAAACCCCAGACTCATTGAAAGTTTGCAGGTTTTTGTAAAAGGGCTTGCTTAAAATCTTTGCTAATCTACCTGAATTTTCTTCCAAAGGCAGTTATAACAATATTTCTTAAGATAATTCTCTAAATTTGCAACTTGGCAGCATCTCACTGGGACTCTGGAGGTTTGATAAATCATGGAGAGTAGGTCTTCATATAGGGAAGTATGAAAGCTCTGTGTGTTAAAAACTACTTAAGAAGGCCCTAAATTTCACAAGAATTTGGAGATTTTTGTGGAGACTCATAAAATGCATCCTTTATATCAGTGAAGTTTTTGCCTCTAGGTATATTATACTCACATTGAACATTCCAGAGATTTTGTTTCAGCCTGCATATACCATGTATATTTGTTATCTGGATAGATAACTTAGACATGTACATTTAAAGGAGTTTGCATCAGCTGCTGCTGAGAAGTTTTTCTTGTGTTAGTTAAGATCCTGTGAAACAGCCCTTGACATTTTACTAGCTGCACAGTTTGCAATAAAATCTACTTTAGCCTGAGGTTAAGTGAAGACTGTGGTCCTCACAGCATGGTGGAGGATCCTGGTGGCCAGATAAAAGGAAATTCCTCATTCTCATTTCTGACTTCTTCACGAACTTATATTAAGACCTTAATTGAAAAACTTATTGCCTCTCTCACCAAAATATTGCAAATTTGAATAGTTTCCCCTAACCAAGAAATACAATTACAACCATTTTATTACTTTTTTCAGTGCCCTTGAAATTTTCAGGCTGGATGGGGGGCTTCAATGTCAGACTCACCAAGTGTTTTATATGCAGACCCCTGCATGGTCCCTAGAGCGTAGTAGGCACTCAGTGAAAGAAATGAATGAATGAATGAATGGAAAGTTAGAATTACATTTTAGTGACTTAACTGTATATTTTCAGAGTATTGTAGTGTTTAGAAAGGGTCAATGATAACATGTTTCTACAGGGAGTTGCATGACAAATATATTTAACACTTGTCAAGAAGTAGGAATTTAGCTTCTGTCATTCGATCTAGGTTTTCAGTTACAGAAGCATTGAGAATTCCCTGTGGCTGGATAAGGGCAAATCTTTAAGGCAAGTTGAAGACCCAGGCTGCCCATGTGGACATCAATACTCCCACAGAGCACTCGCCATGAAGAAAAGTGTGGGTTTGCTGTCTTTTCATCAAAACTCCTAGAATTTGGCTGACTGCCTGGTTTATCACAGGACATTAGTCAGCCCACAAATCCCACATTTGTTTATTCAGTCCAGGGCAAGTGAATGCTGCCATTCTCTCATCTCCTTTGTTGGCAACACTTTGTTAACCTGAATTGAGTTCTGCAACACAAAATGAAGTGACTAATCTTTTGAGGGGTTCCCCCTCCCAGGTTCTTGTATGAGCAATTAAATCTATATACCGCAAAGCCCCATGCTGTCATTTTTTCTCATGCTGCCCCTTTATTCTGATGATTTCACACTGTAGTTAATGAAACTAATACCTTCTAGAGTGTGGTTGAACTGGCACCACCATTAAGAAAAGGGGTTTCCAAACTTTTTAGTTTTGTGAGAAAATGTTAGAGGAAGAGGGAGGTTAGGTTGATTATTTATACTTAGGTAGTCTTCCGTGAATTTGCAGTAATTATCACCTTATACTCTCAAAAGTTTTCTAGCTCTGAGTCTCAAAGTGAGTCTCAAAGTGCAGGAAGTAGGAATCTTAGCACAAAACAACCAGTTTCAACTATCACACAGTTAATATAGGATAGATCTAGAGTATGGACCTAAACAGAATATGCATTCTTTATCACTAAGTTATTTATCTATCTACAAGTGTCTAAAAAGACCTGGACTTTTTAGCAAAAGTTTGAGAATCTAGGTTTCTAAGTTTCTATTGACCATGAAAGAGTGAATAGTTTTAGAAGACAGTTGGGGGCAACATAGTACAAGACAGAAGAGGGGCTGCAGAAAATCATAAAGCTGAACATACATGTTTCCCATAGGCCCCAGCTGTTTTTCAGCATGTTTCACCTAGCAGCTTGGCAAATAATTCTCATTGATCATTAGGTCTGTGGAAATTCTATGTGGTTCATAAAGTTTTGGTCCTGACTATGTGTACCATTGATAACTTGTTTTTCTCTCTCCTTCTTCCCTTTTCCTCCAACTCGTAGTCAGAGCTACCTTCCAGATGACTTCTTTCTATCACTCTTTCTTTCCAGTGTAAAAGAATGCAAGTATGTGTCACATAGGATTATAAAAATATCAAATGATAGGACTGAAAATCAAATCAACACCTTTCCTATGTGAAAACCTGTGTTCTTTATGCTCTACTGCCTGACTTTTTATTTTTATTTTATTTTATTTTATTTGTTGTCGTTGCTGTTTTTTTCTTGAAACAGAGTCTCACTCTGTCCCAGCCCATTGCAACCTCTGCCTCTTGGGTTCAAGTGATTCTCCTGCCTCAACCTTCCCAGGAGCTGGGATTACCGGTGCCTGCCACCATGCCTGGCTATTTTTTATATTTTTAGTAGAGACAGGGTTTCACCATATTGGTCAGTCTGGTTTCGAGTTCCTCACCTCAAGTGATCTGCCCACCTCAGCCTCCCAAAGTGCTGTGATTATAGGCGTGAGCCACCTTGTGTGATCTGCCTGACTTTTTAAAATGATTAAACTCATATTATTTATCAGATGCCTCTGCCACTTTACGTTTTTAAAATTTATTTATTTTTTTATTAAGGTATAGTTAACAAATAAAAATTTTATATATTTATTGCATACAGTGGAATGTTTTGATATATGTATACACTGAAATGGTTAAATCAAACTATCTGTCACGTCATATGCATGTCATAGTTTTGTGGTGAGAGCATTTATGATCTACTCTCTTAGCAATTTTTAATATTCTGCTGTACGACTTCTAACCCAAGGCTTGGATTAGGACAGTCTTTGTAGCTTAGTTTTAGGTTCAGGGATCACAAAAGTTGTTTTATCCTTTGGGCTTTTGCAGCTTGCTATTTTCATAATGAAGATCTGGGGAAAAGATTAGTGTAAGTGGTTTTTAAAATAGCCATTAGCTCAGGACATATTCAGCCAAGGCAGATTAAATAGTTTTGCCAGCATTATCCTGTAGATTTTTTTTCCACAGTCTTTTTTTAGAAAGATAACTTTTAAAAACCTTTGTTTTCTGTGATTAATCTCTTTCCCTACTTTTCTATAGAGGACCAGGAATATGTGTCAATAATTCTTGGGCCTGGTGCAGGTGATCCATGTGCTGGCAGACAGAAATCCAAAGTGACAAAAGAGGTTGTCCTTTGAAAATACTTTTCCTGGCTTGTGTTCTATATTTTTGTATTTGATTCAGTGAAAATGTTTATTGAGGACCTACTACATACCAGACACTCTGATACATTATGAGGGGTTGGGGGACTTATATTATAGTCCATCTGGGATGCAGGAAGGATGAATAAAGAATACAAACAATTATAGTGCAAAACAGAATAAAATTTGACATGTAATGGGCTATCCAATAGTATGGAGAAAGAAAGTATATTTTATTAGTGGAGTTAGGAAATGTATTACAAAGTTGATGGTATCTTGATGGGTCTTGAAGGATAGATAGAATTTTGACAGGTGAGGAGGTATTCTAATGCAGAAGAATAATAGGAGCAAAAGCACAGAGGTGAGAAATTGGAGGGGAACTGTGAAAATTACCACGTAGAATAGAGGCAGGGAAATAAAGGATGTCTAGGTTTATATAGTGAGCAGTAAGCTGCATGGACACAGTTGACTGTTGACTCCTTCTTGAACCCCTACTTACTCCAGAGTCACCACCTCTCCTGGCTTTCTGCCAATCTTCCTGGCCACAGTTTCTCAGTCTTCTTTTCTGGCTCTCTTCCTTGGCCTGAATGCTGCATGTTGAATGATGTCAGCTTCAGTTTTTGTATGCTCTCTTCTCTTAAGTTGCCATCATTTCAATATCTTTAAATGTAATCTACACCTAGGTGACCTCCAAACCAGTAACCTTGCCCATGACTCATGTCCTGAACTACAGATTGTATATAAAACTGTCTACTCAACATCTTCACTTTTTATGTCTAAATCTCTATGTCTGATTTAGAATTCTTGATTCTTTGCTTTTCCTCTATGCTGGAAATCCTGTTCTTACCAGTCTTTCCCCATCTTAATTAATGAACTTGCCATCCACCTAGTGACTTAGTCCTCAAAACTAGGGGTTAATCTAGATTTAGTTATTTTTCTTACTCTTGCCGTATAATAACATATTATTTTGAGTTTACCTCTACTAGACCCCAAATAGGTAACTGCTGTTATTGTTATAAGATAGTAATATTTGCCTCTGAGTGTATGTGAATTACTTTGATAAAAATAAATATTATATTTAAAATATTAATTTCACAGAGATTGTCTTTTAATTTTTTTCCAGAAGTTAACTCATAAGTTGTTGAGTAGAGCCATGCATTCTTCAGGTACGTTAGAATTTTCTTCTGTCTTTCAAAAGAGCCTTCACATTCTCTTGTCTTACAGACTCAGGTGCTATGGATTAGATAGACAAGTACATGTTCCTGTATATCTATCATGCAGTGAACATAACAGTTATGATTGTGATCTTCCAAAGCTTATATTTTCAATAAAAATTAATTAAATATTCTGAGCCAATGAATAAAGGTAGATGCCGCATTGCAGCATTTAGTCAAAAGGGTATTTCTACTGACCACACTAGGGAAGACATAAAAATATAGTTGTAGAAAGTGATGTAATGTTGGCCAGGTGCAGTGGTGCAGACCTGTAATCCTAGCACTTTGGGAAGCCAATGTGGGCAGATTGCTTGAACTCAGGAGTTTGAGACCAGCCTGGACAACATGGTGTAAACCCCATCTCTACAAAAAAAAAACAAAACAAAAAAAAACCACACACACAAATCAGCTGGGTGTTGTGGTGGGCATCTGTAGTCTCAGCCACTTGGGAGGCAGAGGTAGAGGATTGCTTAAGCCTGGGAGGTGGAAGATGCAGTGAGCTGAAATAGTGCCACTGCACTCCAGCCTGGGTGTTAAGAGTGAGACCCTGTCTCAAAACAAAAACAAAAACAAAACTAGTGATATAGTATTGAAAATAGATTTCCTCTCACTTGCTTCATAGTCTATTCTTATGTAATTTTCAATATAAGTTCATTTTAGAGGATACTGACAAGTTTCCATTTATTTATTTATTTATTTATTTATTTATTTTTACATTCATTTCTTCTCAGTCTCTCCAATGAACACCTTCACTGATATCCAAAGCATGAAGAGAGACACCAGGAAAAAACATGGACCTAACAAAGGACAAATGGAATTATTAGAAACATTTTCCAGAAGAACACTACTCTGTTGCTATTTGAATCTTTGCTTCTTTCTAGGTTTGACAGTGAGGCTATCATATAAGCCCAAATGTAAACTGAAAGAGGTTGAATCAGTTAGGATAAACCCTATTGTGCTGTGGTAACAAACAACCTCAAAATCTCATTGGCTTAAAATACACAGAATTATTCTTACTCATGATACATATCCATCAATGGTCTGCAAGGGATCTGCTCACAGAGGTCACTGAAGTGAACTTGGACTGATAGAACTGCCACTTTTTGGTCATTATTTGTATTAATCTGTTTTCATGCTGTTGTTAAAGATCTGAAACTGGGAAGAAATAGAGGTTTAATTAGACTTACAGTTCCACGTGGCTGAGGAGGCCTCAGAATCATGATGGAAGGTAAAAGGCAATTCTTACATGGTGGGAACGAGAGAAAAATGAGGAAGAAGCAAAAGTGGAAACCCCTGATAAACACATCGGATCTCGTGAGACTTATTTCACTATCATGAGAATAGTATGGGAAAGACTGGCCCCCATGATTCAGTTACCTCCCCCAGGTCCCTCCCACAATATATGGGAATTCTGGGAGATACAATTCAAGTTGAGATTTGGTGGGGACATAGCCAAACCCTATCATTTTGCCCCTGGCCCCTCCAAATCTCATGTCCTCACATTTAATAACTGACCATGCCTTCTGAATAGTCCTCCAAAGTATTAACTCGTTTCAGCATTAATCTGTAAGTTCACAGCCCAAAATTTCATCTGAGACAAGCAAGTCCCTTCTGCCTATGAGCCTGTAAAATCAAAGGCAAGCTAGTTATTTTCTAGATACAGTGGGGGGTGCAGGTATTGTGTAAATACAGCCATTCCAAAAGGGAGAAATTGGCCAAAACAAAGAGGTTACAGGGCCCATGCAAGTCTGAAATCGGTGGGGCAGTAAAACTCTAAAGCTCCAAAATGATCTCCTTTGTTCCAGGTCTCATATCCAGGTTACACTGATGCAAGAGGTGGATTCCCATGGTCTTGGGCAGCTCCACCCATGTAGTTTTACAGGACACAGCCTTCCTTCCTCCCAGCTGCTTTCACAGGCTGGTGTTGAGTGTCTGTGGCTTTTCCAGGTGAACAGTGCAAGCTGTTGGTGGATCTACCGTTCTGGGGTCTGGAGGACAGTGGTCCTCTTCTTACAGCTCTGCTAGGCAGTGCCTAGGGACTGTTTGTGGGGGCTCCAACCCCACATTTCCCTTCTGCACTGCCCTAGCAGAGGTCTCCATGAGGGCCCCACCACTGCAGCAAACTTTTGCGTGGGCATCCAGGAATTTTCATACATCTTCTGAAATCTAGGTGGAGGTTACCAAACCTCAGGTTTTGACTTCTGAGCACCCACAGTGTCAACACCATGTAGAAGCTGCTAAGGCTTGGGGCTTCCACCCTGTAAAGCCACAATCAGAGCTGTACGGTGGCTCCTTTCAGGCACAGCTGGAGCGGCTGGGACACAGGGCACTAAGTCCCTAGGCTGCACACAGCACATGGACCCTGGGTCTGGTCCATGAGACCACTTTTTCCTTCTGGGCCTCCAAGTGATTGGAGGGGCTGCTATGAAGGTCTCTGACCCGGTTTGGAGACATTTTCCCCATCATCTTGGGGATTAACATTAGATTCCATGCTACTTATGCAAATTTCTGCAGCTGGCTTGAATTTCTCCCCAGAAAATTGGCTTTTCTTTTCTATCGCATAGTCAGGTTGCAAATTTTCTGAACTCTGTTTCCCTTTCAAAACTGAATGCCTTTAACAGTACCCAAGTCACCTCTTAAATGCTTTGCTGCTTAGAAATTTCTTCTGCCAGATACCCTAAATCATCTCCGTCAAGTTCAAAGTTCCACAAATCTCTAGGGCAGGGGCAAAATGCCATCAGTCTCTTTGCTAAAACATAACAAGAGTTACCTTTGCTCTAGTTCCCAACAAGTTCCTCATCTCCATCTGAGACCACCTCAGCCTGGATTTTATTGTCCATACCACTATTGGCATTTTGGGCAAAGCTATTCAACAAATCTCTAGAAAATTCTAAGTTTCTCCACATTTTCTAGTCTTCTTCTGAGCCCTCAGACTGTTCTAATCTCTGCCTGTTACCCAGTTCCAAAGTCGCTCCCACATTTTCATATATCTTTTCAGCAATGTCCCACTTTACTGGTACTAATTTACTGTATTAATTGGTTTTCACACCTGCTGATAAAGACATACCAGAAACTGGGAACAAAAAGAGGTTTAATTGGACTTATAGTTCCACATGGTGGGAGAGGCCTCAGAATCATGGTTGAAGGTGAAAGTCACTTTTTTTTTTTTTTTTTTTGAGACATAGTCTCACTCTGTTGTTAGGCTGGAGTATGGTGGCGCTATTTGGGCTCACTGCAACCTCCGCCTCCCCAGTTCAAGTGATTCTCCTGCCTCAGCCTCCTGAGTAGCTGAGACTACAGGCACATGCCACCATGCCCGGGTAATTTTTGTATTTTTAGTAGAAATGGGATTTCACCATGTTGGCTAAGGTGGTCTCAATCTCTTGACCTTGTTATCCACCTGCCTTGGCCTCCCAAAGTACTGGGATTACAGGCATGAGCCACCATGCCCAGTTAGTAAAAGGCACATCTTAACGTGGAGGTGGCAATAGAACAATGAGGAGGAAGCAAAAGTGGAAACCCCTGATGAGCCCATCAGATTTCATGAGACTTAATTCACTATCACCAGAAAAGCACGGGAAAGACCAGCCCTCATGATTCAGTTACCTCCCCCTGGGTCCCCCCCAACAACATGTGGAAATTCTGGGAAATACAATTAAAGTTGAGATTTGGTGGGGACACAGCCATATCACATCATTATACCATAAGTTTTTGTTGTTTTTTTTTTAAACAAACATGAGGATCTTGTACTGGTAATTAATGTCTGGTCTAGAAGTGAAGCACATTTCTTTTTCTTGCAACCGGTTGGCCAGAACCAGCTAGATGGCCCCACCAAGCCAACACTTGGAGGGAAGTAAAATATTTGGCAAACAGCACCCATGGCCATCACAGCTGGAAGCTCTCAGTCTGGAACTCCTTCCCCAGGCCTCCCATTTCTGGAAGTCTGGGAACAACCATCCAGGAATCTGATGACATCTTTTCCTTTACTAGCCAAAGGGAGAGCAATAAGCAAATAAACTCAGCATTCTCCCATTTATACTTTTAAATTTGAAGACCAGTTTTGTGTTTATAAGAAAGTAAGGGTTGAGCATCATGAAGAAAAATGTAAAGACCTTTAAAAAGCGTATAATCAAGCCTATTAGCTACAAATGGATCAAATATATGTCTGAATAATCACAATCAAGTCTGTCACATACAAAATTCATCCATTAATAGCAACTAAATATCATTAGATAGGTAGTAGTCCTGTGTTTAAAATAGTAATCTATTTGGAAACAGGAATTAAAAATTAGTATTATTCTTAATATATTTGAAAATTAGATGTGTTTATCTGTCCAACCCTTACAAGTGTGTGGTAATGGTTAAGGTATTTCTCCTCTATATGCCTAAGTTTTCTTCCTTATAAAAAGGGAGCAGGGATGATAGTACCTGATTTTAGTTGTGAAAATAAATTTGTACCTTTATATATATATATATATATATATATATATATATATATATATATATATGTATGTATGTAAAATATTTAGGCTTGTGGCTGACATTAAGTACTAAAAAATACTGGCTATGACTCTTGTCCTCATATTATTATCAGATATGACACATTTATAATTTAAACAAAAGTCCTACAAAGAACTCATAAATTAAAAGAAGACAATCTCTTCACAGGAGAACAAATTTTGGAACAATTTTTTAGTCTCTAGACAAATGTCACTGATGTTATGAGTGAAATGGGCCTGTGAAGGGAAGATACAGGTGGAACTGGGCCAGTGTTTGTAGAGGATTGTGATGTTTCTGTATCTCTGCTGACTCTATCAGTTCCAGAGCTAGTTCAACTGAAGCCTCCATAACCTCTGGACTATAAAAATGTACCATGCTAATATTAGCATGATGAATGAAATTCATTCAAAATGTTAATAGTTTTCAAATGGGTCTTCAGATATATAATTGAAGATACTACATTCTTGAAAAGGAAATCTTTATAGCATACCAGTGCCTGGTGATAATACCTCATTTCTGGGCACAGCTTGTTGTGGAGGTATGGTTTGTGTTCTATCTGAGGTAAATTTAGTTTGATGTTGTGTTTCAGGCTAGTTCTGCTGAAAACAATGTTCTCTTTTCTTTTAGAACCAGGGCTGTGGTCTATGTTACTTGTGACTTGGCAGCTCTTACTGGGGCTAGATGAGGAAGACATTTCCTTACATGGTTCCAAGCATCCTTCCCCGGGGTTCTGAGGTGGTCTCATCTGTGTTTCTTGGATAGATCATTGGCTCTAAAATATCCCCTAAGTGATGTGATATTATCTCATCTCATGCATGGGTGTTGGAGGTTGAGTGGAGTTTGGGTTAGTTTCACCACCTTCCAGTTGGGAAACATTGTATAGTTTTTCTTAAAACCTTGCTCAGCTTTAGTTTCCTTATTTGAACAGGATTAAAAATTGGGCTTGAGAGAAGATTTGGAGATAATATTAGTAGATATTGTTGATGAATTGGGTTTGGCAGAGGGAGGGGGCAAGGATGACTACCTTGGTTTCTGTCTCAAGCAAGTGTGTGGTGATGCCTTTTACTGAGGAGATGAGAAAAGTGACGTGGCCGGCGCGGTGGCTCAAGCCTGTAATCCCAGCACTTTGGGAGGCCGACGCGGGTGGATCACGAGGTCAAGAGATCGAGACCATCCTGGTCAACATGGTGAAACCCCGTCTCTACTAAAAATACAAAAAATTAGTTGGGCATGGTGG